GTGAGAACATCTGTGGCTGGGAGGAAAAGGTCAGGACAATCTTGCTGAAGTCTGCGCAGTCTTCGAGGTTAGACTGGAGCACCTGTAGGTAGTGGCTTTGGTGTTGTGGTGATTGTAGGAAACACCTGGACTTGAACAGGGTACTGGAACATATATATGGGCAGAAGACAAAGTTAAGTAGGTTAAGGAGAAAATTCCTTTTAGGTGTACATTTGAAACTTTTTGGTAGAGCGAGCAGAGATGGAAGGTTTGGGATTGAAGAAGGGAAAAAAACTTGAATATTTACCTGATCACTGGCAGTAATTTAAAAGGTTTCATTTTCGAACTGTCGTTTAAGGGAAATTGAGGCCAAGTTTGGTTGCAGAGGTGTGAAAGCTTGGAAAAGTGGGTGCTCTAAAATTCTCCAGAAAACAACTCAGTGGGAAGCCTGGAGGAACAGACTGCTCCCATTGGGCAGGTGGGAGTCAGTGATCTGCCAGAGGAATCCCAAAAACAAGGTTTAACTGAGTCGATTTGTACAGTCTGTTCCAACAGCTCCTCAGCTTTGGCCTGAGACCAAAGGCATATTTGCCTGATCAGACACAGTTACCTAGTGCTAGGAGGGAGAAGGGGGGAAGGGAAGCTGAAACTGTGCTGGTAGAGAGAAAATCTGACCCAAAGGGAGAAGGTCCTAGATAAAGGGTTTGGATGTGGGTTGGTGAGAACAGCAGGAAGTGTTGATGCCAACCAGAAGAGAAAACTCACCAATCAGCCATTGTTGGGTGCAGGAATGTATTGATCCAGGTAGCCAGGAAAGGGGAGTTCCAAAACCAGGGAAAGGGGGAGGAATCCAACCCTGAGATGGGCAGTGGTGGGAAACTTAAGCTGTTGATTGGCAGTACTTATCTGGACTCCATTCTGGAATCTTGAGAAGGGGATTCAGGTGGATTTCCTGCAGCTTGCAAGAATCCCTTTTAAGTTTACAAATGAGATAAACTTTAGACAGGTTAGCATCACCATTGTGATCTATGGTGAAATATACATTGTAGAAGGCAGTAGACATACTGCCTTTGTTAACCTTTGTGTTAACATCATAAACATTCTTTAAAGTGAGCACTGGAAAGGCAGAAGCCTTCCATGAAGTAGAAGGGGCTAAAGCTCATTTGATCTTGACTTTTATTATGATTACACATCATGGAAGAGAGGCTTCTTCTATCTATCCAGAAGACTGGATGGATATAAGTCTAGCACAATGAGAAACAACTTTTAAGTCTATACTTAAAAACCAAAGGAGATTTAAAATCTTGAGCTTGGACCCATGATAGTGGATTGTAAAATGGAATGTTTTAGCAGAGTTGGATTGAGAAATCAGAGCACTAGTGATAAATGTCAGAGTTCTGGACAGCTAATACAACAGTAGCATAGCAAGAGGAAGAAATATGAAGCATTTTTATTTAGTTAAGATACCTTAAATCACCTTAGACCTTTCAACCTTAATAACTTGCATTTATCAACCTTAAAACACCTTCTTAGACAATCAGAAACTTTTTTTAATCTTCATAACTTAAACTTCTGTATCCTCAGGATTTTTAATATTTACTATGAGACATAGATAAGATTGCTGTGAGCATTCATTGTCCTTTAGCTAAAGGAATGGTAAAAGGTTACATTTGAGATCTGTATTTTGAGTCTGGTAACAAAGTAGACTGTGTCTAGACCAGACAGTAGCAGCTCTAGGAGTGAGGCTTAATGCCTGGTCTCCTGCATATGAAGAGGACTGAGAAGGCATCTGAAGCTTCCCATGACAGAAGTTGGCAATATTACCATGGGACCCGATTATGGGGTTAAAACAGACCTGCACCTGCAGTATTACCCTGGGCTCAGGGAGGGTGATGGAGGTCGCTGAATCTAGGAGCCATCTGTCCTCTGCTAGGCCAAGGAGCTCAAAGACTGGAAGTGTCTTTAGTGTTTTTGCTGGTTGAGCTTCCATGGCGGGGCACAGAGGAAAAGCCTGCATGGGAGCATTTTGACTTCCAGAGGCAGGCAAGGCCTAGCTTGTTGAGGCAGCCACGGGATCAGTGTCCTTCCTGGCTGCATTTGAAACGGGTCCTTGGCAGAGTAGACTTAGGCTGGACCCTATGCGGTGGGAATCACAGACGTCTTGTTTCCTCTGAGGGAATGCTGACAGCTTCAGGGCAGCAGCCAAGGCCTGGAACATAGTTTTCTGCTATAGCTGAGCCTGTTGGGAAGGCTCCTGTCAGGCTTTAAAGACTTTAAAAATCATGTTTACCAACTCCTGGATGGGGGTTCAGGGATTATCTTCAGCTGTTTAGTTACGATGACAGTGAAACTGTGTCTGCATCTGTATGACCCTAAATATATTTTTGGACATGTTAAAGGACTTGATCATCTACAAGATGACTAATTTATATTTCTTAACCATCAAATACTAGGGTTTTAGGTTTCATCCCTGTTAAGTTGAAGCCTTAAAAATCATAATAGTCCATAAAAAGAGAGTATAACAGTTTCCTGTATGACTTAGTTTATAAAAAGTTCATAGCTTATAAAAGTCTCTGGCTATAATTTAGAAAACAAGGTTAAACATATTTATAAATCAGTGATGTTAACCTTTTTGAGAGTGAAGATCTAGCATAATGACCAAGTTTTAACATTGTAAACAAATGAATATCTCTAAAATTAACATATATAAAACAACTTTTAAAAATTATGACTGTTTATACCAAATTCATTGGCCAGAAAGCCTAATTGTGAACCCAGATCACAGGCAGCTGGTGGTGGTGGAAACAGCATTCATTCATTCATTCATTCATGCATCCAAGAACTAGTAAAAAACATAGTAGTTTGACATACATTTTAAATGAGCTCATTAATCTGAATAGATCTTTATAACCTTGAAATTTCAGCATCATATCAAAATTATTTTGAACCAGGGTTGAATCATATAAGCAGCATGTTGTAAAAATGTACATTTGAGTTTATATAAAAATCCATACCAATTTAAAATGAGACTTGTTCTGATAAGTAAGTGCTTACACTGGCTATAGAAAAAATAACACAGTGTTAGAGATATATTGTCAAGTTAATGTCTTGAATGTGGTAAGAATTCAAGAAAATTTTTTGAGAGATATCGCAAGTTTGCCTTGCCTTGTGATTGTTGCAACTCACTTTCGATGTCCCTACAACAGGTCAGTGGAGGAGCATCTACTTAGGCTTAATTGTTTCTCCTTCAGTTGAATCTTAACTCTTTCTTTAAAGATATTTGTATGTAAACACTGGGCAGTGGTGGCACACGCCGTTAGTACCAGCACTCAGGAGGCAGAGGCAGGTGGATCTTTGTGAATTCGAGGCCAACCTGGTCTACAGAGTGAGTTCCAGTTCCAGGACAGCCAAGGATACACAGAGAAACCCTGTCTCAGGAAAAAAAAAATGTTTGTACGTGCATTTGTCTGTGTGTATGTGTGTGTTCCTGTGCATACAGAGGCCAGAAGAGGACTGTTGAATCCTTGAAACTGGTGCTTGTAAGACACCTGGATTGTTATGTGAATGCTGGGATCTGAACTCATGTCTCATGATTGCAAAGTAAGTGCTCTTAATCACTGGGCCATCTTTCCAAATCCTCTGAACTATTTTAAAAAAAAAATCAGGTTCTTGATTAGAATTCTGGTAATAAACATAAATAAAAGAACTTAGCATGATGATACTTGCTTGTAATCTCAGCACTCGGGGCTAAGGTAGGATGATTGGGAGCCTGAGGACAGTCTGGGCTAAAAAGATCAGAACAGCTTCATTTACACTCTCCTTCTGTAATTTATTGTGTGAGGAACCGTCTTGAAATGAATAGGTAGGGCTCTTCAAGCCTACTTTGAGGTTTAAAAGGGCATCACCCACGTCTACTGAGAGAGTACCTTACCTTACTGAGAGAGTGCTTTAGCTCACCTGGATCAAGTGGAAAGAAAGCATTTGAGACCTCTGAGAGATATTTTTAACTGCAACACCTGTACTTTGACTGTGTTTTTATTAACAGACACCTAGTTGAATTGGAATACACTGGGTATGACTGTATTCCAAAGGCTTCTCTTTGTATTTTGTCGTGAGAGCTTAGTTAAATTTAGTTTAAGTGTGTTGTTTGAATAATGACATATTAACCAGTGGTGCTGTCTTCTTTGGGAATGGAAGGGTAAATCACATGGCTTTTACTTATCTTTAAGAATTCTGCCCTTACCAATCATGTCCTGCTAGGATTCTTTCCGGTTCTGTCAGAAATGGCTAACCCATGATAAATCATTCTCTTTGGAGATTTCTGGCTATATTCACTTTGAATGCAGAAAAGTGAAACAATTTCTTGATTAATTTTTCCAGCTAAAAAGTATCATACTTTTTAATGTAGAGAAGTATGCAAAATGAAAGAAAAATGACCCACAGTGCTGCATTTAGTCTTCTGTTTACATGAAAAACATAATATATTTCATGTTGACTAAAACCCAAATACTATGAAATGAACATCTAGAAATTCCTACTATACATATATCTTGTTCCCCCTACTCCTAGATGATTATTCTTTAAAGGTAACTGTTGCCAGTAGTTTTATGTTATTTCTGTTTATAAGTCAACATCTTAATGTATTCATTCTTTTAATTAATCAATAGTAATTTTATTCACTTATGTAACATATCCAAAACTTTGCCGAGGACTTTCCTGTTCTGTTCTAGACAAAAGCTAAGCTTGGGGTTAAAGTAGTGAATGAAACAGAAGGTCTGTATTCTTATGACACTCAGAGACTAGTTTTGAAAGAGAAAAATGTAAATTCACAAGAAATTACAAGGACTTCAGTATACCGTAATGTCAGAATACCGTAAATAAAGAGGAGAGTCATTTGATATGATGCTGCTACTAGGTGAAGGTGGATATTGAACAGTCCTTCAAAGTTCCAAGTTCACGGTGTGGTAGATGCCAGTAGTGATCCTTATAACGGTTAACCTTTGCTGTTTTTATTTCTGAAGGTGAAGCCCCATCTGCCATCCAGCTGCCCACACCTGCAGTCCAGCGCCCAAGCCCCATCACACTTTTCCAGCCCACGGTCTCCAGTACTGGCCCGGTGGCCGTCCCGCCTCCAAGTCTGACGCCCCGCCCATCTCTCCCACCTCAGCGCTTTACTGGGCCTTCCCAAACTGACGTTCATAGGCTCCCTTCGGGAACCAGTCGCTCTGTGAAGAGACCCACTCCAGTCTCTCTGGAAAGCACCAGCAGGATTCCAGCTGGTGCAAGTACTGCCCATGCCAGATTTGCAACCTCACCTATCCAGCCTCCCAAGGAGTATGCCAGCGTTTCCACTTGTCCCCGAAGCACTCCAATACCCCCAGCTACTCCCATTCCACACTCACACGTCTATCAGCCCCCGCCCATTGGCCACCCAGCCACACTGTTTGGGACGCCACCTCGATTCTCGTTTCATCACCCTTATTTCCTACCTGGACCTCATTACTTCCCATCAAGGTAAATGAACAGTTTTCTACCTCTTACCTAAAACTGCTAATGAAGGTTTACTTTGGGAGGCACTTTACTGTTGAAAACAGGGCTTCCTCAGTCGGGCTTCCATTCAGCTTTAGAGGCTGAGTAAGCAGTCCACACAAATGGATAAAGGGGGCCACATGAGGACCCGGGGAGCTAGAGCTAGAAAGAATTCATTGTCATCTATTGGGGCACTCTTTCTCCACTCCACCAGCTCTTTCCCTGTGAGAATGTGGTTTCACAGGAAACAGTTATGAGAAGCCATATGATCCCTGTTTTGGATGTGAGTTTCTGGAACACGAATTGTGTACATGAATTGTATGGCATCTTGTTAAATGCAGATCCTGACTCTTAAGTCTCCGGTACAGGAATGCCTTCACATACTTAAGAGTCTGCATTTCTAATAAGCTCCTAAGTGGTGCCACTTCTGTCTGCTTATGGATCACATTGTAAATAATAAGATTGGAAAAGGGAAAGTTTTCAAGCCAACAGAGTTGGAATGACCTGTTAATAATTATACTTCCTCTCTGTCCATTTTACCAAACCAGAGAATTTCCAATGTAAATTACCAGCAATGAGGTTGATTTTCATAGGGAAATATCTTGGGAAAGCAAATTGAAACTTCACTTTGCAAATACCCACTGTTGCTGTTAAGTTTGTAGATAGTTTATATTGTGGTTGGAGTATTGAAAGGTTTAACACTAATCTTTTATTGTTAAATTGATTAATAGGAAGTTTAGCTTTCTTATTATGACAAGGCTTATAAGATCTGACTGTTAATGTACAAATTATTTGATACTTTAAAGAATGTTTTATAAAAAGGCATCTCAAAGCAGTCGCTTAGAGTACAGTAACAGTACCTCTCACTGGCAATAGTAAATGAAGCGGATAAACAGTATTATTGTACTTCCTAAACTTGAATTTGATTGGGCTTAAGAAAGCCAGAGCAGTATATCAAATATAAATATCAAGGTAATAATCTTTTTCAAAAAGGAAAGTAAGATCTATAATTTCATACTGAAAATCCTTTGTAATTGTTCTTTGATTTTGTCCATATATTTCTGATGACAGGTTTTACCAGGGAATGAGTAATCTACTTATGCTTTCTGAAGTAGAAAATCTAGTCTGGCTAAGTGGCAAAACCAGCTGATTTCCTTTCAGTAATCCTTCTCTCTAAATTGATAATGGAATTTTATAAAGACTATTTTCCCTAATTGCTTCAATACAATGATTGTAATGGGTATTTGAAATAGAAATACACATATCATATATTTCATGTATTTATTATATTTTACATATTTTAACAAAATTAAATTGGTTAGGCATTTTAATGGAGTCATTTTGTAAAGGAAAGGGATACTTGGACTGGTCATACCTCTCTGAGATCTTGTCTTCCTGCCTTTGACTGTTAGCCATTTCATTTTGGCTTGTGGAACTTGCTTTTTCTTCAGACAGCATTCACTCCTCTGTTTAGTTCTTTTCTCTTTCATCATTCCTTTGTCTCATCCTTGCAGAATATTCTTTTTAAAGATTTATTTTTATTTTTGTATATATATGTGTGTTTGGCATGTATATGTGGAGGCCAGGATTGAGTGCTGGATCCCTTGTAACTGGAATAACAAGTGAACTACTTGATGTGGGTGCTGGGAACTTAAAATTCTGGTGTTTGGGAAGAGCAGCTTGTGCTCTTAACCAGTGAGCCATTTCTTCAGCCCACTGTAGTGTATTCTTATCTTCATATTCGAGAAGATATATAGAGTCTTCATTCTGTTATTCATTGAATGTTGCAATGAAAAATATTAAAATGATAGGAAAGACAAATGGGGACGTATTAACCTCAAATAAAGAGAAAATATACTCAAATGGTATACATATAATACAGTCAGTAGGCAGTTGGGAGAATTTCTGATATATATTAACATAGCAACCTAGTTGTAAAATTTGAGACAAAAAAAAAAAAAAACAAAAAACAAAACAAAAGCAAACCAAAACAAAACAAAACCCCACAGATTAAAAATCTTTTGAACAAGTATTTGGTTGTAGACTTAAGAATTTGATTGAAATTATGTACTCTTTATTTAAAAAAAATCACACCTACATTTACATGCATACTTTTGTCTGAACGTTTTATAGATAAGGAATATATATAGTCCATTTCTGTTGTAGCTACCTAGAAACACTGAATTTAAATGTGAATTATTTAATACTTAGATGAACTTATCAGAAAGAAGAAAATAAGTTCTTAGTAGGCAAAGTGGCCAACCAGCTATTTATAGTGATCCTGAAGATGGTTTTTAGACACAGAAATGGTCTCATGGCTGTAAAGTTGGATTTAAATGAGAAGACATCCAGTTTTGAGCTTTTGCTTGCTTTCAGACTAAAACCTCTCCATAAAGCAGAGAAGCAGAGGCCTTTTCAACCTTAATAAAGAAAATAGAAAACTTTTATAACCAACTCAGATCAAGTTTGAAGAGAACTATGTTTTGCCTGGGCTTCTGTGTGATTTCTAAAGTGCATTCATTACACACCGATATAGAATCCACCCCCCCGCCCCGTCCTCTTGATGAAAACAGTTTTAAGTTGATAAATTTATGTGCAATTAGATGGAAGTTATCTGGGTAACTGTTTTAGAGGGACACTTTCATTACCTAGGGCAGTTGGAATTTCTATTGCATCTGAGAAGTGGATGAAACATGAGAAAAGTTATTAAAAGTATGAGTTTGGTGCTGGGGAGATGGCTCAGTGAGTAAAGCATAAAACTTAAGTTCTGAGGATGCAGAGACAGGGTCTTGGTGGCCAGCCAGCCTAGCCTAATTGGCAAATCTCAGGTGACAGCAAGAGACCCTGCCTCCAGAATTATGGTGAATGGTTACTGAGGAGTGACACTCAGATTAATATTTTACCTCCACATGCACTCATGTATAAGTGCATTGTGCCCAGTCATGTGCACCTGTACACACACACAAAAAGAATAAGAGTTTGTGGAACTTACAAATAGGATTAATATCCCAAGAATTTGAGACAATTGAAAATATCTCAAACTAAAAATATGTACTTTGAATCGTTACTAAAAACTTATATTTCAACTGAAATACAGTATTAAGGATTGGATTCATCTTTAGATGAAACAATGAAACTATACAAAATATATGTATTGCAAGAACATTGCTCTCCAAGAGGCAGAAGCTCAGCAGAGCAGGGCTTGGAGAAAAAGGGGAGAATCATTATTGAGCTGTAACAATATATTATCCAAATATACAATTTTCAACAAAGTAGCTCAAAAAACAAGAAAACAAAATCTGTTCAAAGGTAATGTAGTGGCACATGCCTGTAATCCTTGTGTTCAGGAAGCTGGAACAAGAGGAGCATAAGTTCAAGGCTAGCCTGGTTCTCATGGCAAATATTAGACAAGCCTGAGCTACCTCAAAGTGAATGAGTTGAGCAAATGGATGAAAATAAAACCACTAGAAACTTTATGACAGAGTGTAGAATTGAGTATGACAAAGTCCACAGGGTATTAGTAATATTTTAAATAACTAAAGAATATTATGCTTAAAGACATTGACATATTGTGATCAGTATTTTTTAACATTTTATTTTTATGTGCATTGTATGTACATATCTGTATGTATGTCTGTGTTGAAGTGTCAGATTCTCTGGAGATGGAATTAAAGACAGTTGTGAGCTGCCATATGGATGTTGGGAATTGAATCTTGGTTGTCTGGAAGAGCAGCCAAGTGCTCTTAACCTTTGAGCACTTAACCTCTCTAGCCCTGATAATTTTTAAAATCAAATTGAAAAATTAATGATGGCATGTAAAATTTAAAAATTAACAAATAGAAACTCTGAAGTTCAACCAAAATGAAAAATTCAGCTGAGCACCTCAAACATAGACTTCAACATGCAGAGGAGAATATCAGCAGACTTGAAACTAGACTAATGCATGTTAAAAAATAAGAACAGAAATGGGACAAAGAATGAAGAAAAAATCAGGAGAGCCTCGGAACAACTCGAGTACATATTCATCATTAAGCACAGCAGTTTATATGAAACTGAAGTACAAAAGGAAGAAGGGAGCATGAAAATATTGGGCGAAAGGTTGTTGAGATGTCTCAGGTGGGTATAAACTCCTTTTGCCCCACCCCTACCTCCCACAAACCTGATTTCAATTCCTGTGACCTTGGACCCCATGGTGGAGGGAGAGAACTGATTCCTGAAAGTTGTCTTCTGCCCACCACATGTGATTTACTTGATGGTAGCCATTATAATTTCAGGAAGATGGATTCTGCATGTGGTTTTTAATTTGCTTGTCTTTTTTTTTTTGGCTCAGTTTTGCTTGATGTATTGATTCCCATCCGTTGGCTCTTATTCTGTGAACATCTTTACCAGTGAGATGAGTTTCTTAGTAACTATAGATAGTTTGAGCTTGTTTTTTTCCCCCATCTAATCAACTACTTCATATCTGTTGACTTGTGAGTTGAGACTCTTTTATATTTAAAGCATCATTGAGAAGGGTCTATTAATTCCTGCAATCCTATTGCTTGGATTATTGATCATTGTGTCCTTTCAGGTGTACAAGTATTAAGAGGTTGCTGGTTTACTGTACAGAATATGATGGGTTCCTTCTTAGCTCTCCTTTGTTCATCTAGTCCTCATAAAAATTATTTTCCATGTTTTCGTGACTGAGGCTGTCTTCTGAGTATAGTATTCCTGTAAGTATCTTTTGCAGTGCTTGTGGGATGTTCATGAATTGCCCTAGTGTGTACTTGTCTTGAAATGTCTTAGTTTCTCTCTATATTTTTACACTATAGCTTTGCTGGACATATCAATCTTTTTGAAAAAATAAAATTTATTTTTATTTGTATAGCTGTCTGATTTGCACATGCATATGTACTACATGTGTGCAGGGTTCATAGAAGCCAAGAGGCCATCAGATCCCTAGGACTGGACTCAGAGAGCATTGTGAGCTGGAAGAGCAGCTGGGG